AGAGTGTCAAGAGAGAGTGTCAAGCAAGAGTGTCCAGCAAGAGTGTCAAGCAAGAGTGTCAAGAACAAGTGTCAAGAAAGATGGTCTAGCAAAGAGCGTCAAGAAAGAGTTTCAAGCAAGACTGTTTAGCAAGAGAACGTCTCGTGGAAAATGCTCGTTTGTTGCTTCTGGTGAAAGTCTCGTGAAAAATGCTTGTTTTCAAGAGTGTCAAGCAAGAGTGTCCAGCAAGAGTGTCAAGCAAAAATGTCAAGCAAGAATGTCCTGTAAAAGTATCCAGCAAAGTGTCAAGCAAGAGTGTCAAGCAAGAGTGCCCAGCAAGAGTGTCAAGAGAAAGTGTCAAGAAAGATTGTCTAGCAAAGTGTGTCAAGAAAGAGTGTCTACACGGCTGGGGAGGTGCTGGCGCTGCTTTAGTTGATGACTCTGCGAGTCATCTCCGAAAACAAGAACGCTTTGAGTGCTACGCTTCTATACAAAGTGACTGCATTCGGGTTCGTGGGTTCTATCAGGTTTGATTTGGAATCTATTCCATGTACTCGCATCAAGTAACTACATGCATAATGCCGCATAAAGTGCTCGGCCTCCCACCAAACAAACCCTGAATATATATATATATATATGCAAATAGTTGCACTAGCCACTAGTCATTCACAAGGTGGTGTTGAACAAAAAGGACTTATCATGGATATACATGGATGTACTGCATCCCAGCTGCATCTGTCAACCCTTCAGATTGCCACAGTTCAGTGGGTAGCAGGGCCTCCTCCAGGTTGCTGACCTCCAACTCTGCACAAGCATCGAAACACAATGAAAAACTCAGCAGTACTTCTCTTCAGGTCATACGTCCAAGAACTTGGGCACACTAAGACTCTAAGATTTGCGTGTTTGATGTATGTTTGCTCGTATGACTTGTGTTTTTGGTGATGGGTTCTCCCTCTGTTTTTCTCGATGAAGCTGAAGAGCCTTCGAAACAATGTCCACCAACAATGGAGCCTGCAAACACAGTTCTTGATCCACGCGAAGGATCAACAACTAGGTGACCCACTGGATGCTCACAACTTGAATCGGCAATCTGGCATCTTGCCGTTGGGTTTCTCACCATCTTGGCATCTTCTGCCTTCAGTGCACGTCATGAGCAAGGAGCTATGTTTGATCTGGCTTTTTGCCACCGAAGTCTCATCTTCCAACGCGTCCCCACAGAGCTTCATTAGTTCAAGTCGTGGTAGCGTGCGAAAAAGCCTGGGCACCGTTTCCGCGCACGTCGCTTCAGATTCACACAAATATATACAAATATCCTTCAAGCATGCCTTTTGCAGGCGTTGCGTTATTCGGCATGTTTCAGCCACTGGGAACATGTTTAACAAAAAAAAGAACCAAAACCTTCGTGCTCACGCTTCTGGAAGGAAGCTCTCCCCCCCTCAGGAGGGGAGAGTTTCCTTGAAGAAGCGTGAACTATCCTGCGTCCAGATACTAGAACCTTAAGTAGCTAGGACCGAACAGGTTTGTCCCTTACCTCATTAATTAAATAGGGAAACTCTGTCCACTCTTGTTTTCAGCCAGCGTTGCTCTTTCGGTGTGTGGTTGGCTTACAAAATTTTGCTGTTTCTCGACCCACTCTGCCCATCTGACCCAGTCTTGAAGACGCCCTGGCCTTGCTGCTGGAACAACAAATTCCACGACCTCTCCGGAAAGAAGCAATTTGAGAACTTGACACACATCCGCAGTACTTCCGTGAAGTGAAGGCTTCCATGGCCACCAGAATGCGATCTCGGGTCTCTGGTGGAATATCCGTCAGGAATGTGCTGGCTGCCACTTCTTGTAGGTATATATCCACTACCTTCAATGACACCCAGCGCCCGCGTTTGCGGACAAGTTCAGCAGATTCGGTGAGGCCGAATGAGGAAGGTCGCTCCTCCCGGCCGGAACTAAGCTAGGGTCAGCGGCTTCTGCTGACTCACCGATCGGACCGGCAGGCCAAGCTTCGACAGGATCTTGTCCAAGCGATGTCTCAGGGTCGAAGGTGAGCTCGGCCACATTGCCTCATACGGCTTCAACCATCCTAGTCAAATCCAAGCAACTTGCATCAAGTCTGGAGCCTCAAGCTTACTCGATTGATGCCTGGCCGCCCGAAAGCGGGTCTTGGGCTCCATGATGCGGAGCAGGATGTGATCTATGGAATATCGAACATCCTGCGGAAAGACTACGTCCTGTGCCCCCTCGAAGATTGCCACACAAGCGAAGAGCTTCAGCAGGCAAGGGAGGAATCTCGTTTGCCAGGGAATTTTAGGTGGACGCACTGGATGATGTCCTGGCTGGGCTCGATGCACGTGGGGCAGCGAAGACCAGTTCAAAGTCCTCGTTGTGGCGACGTCCACGTTCCAACTCACCAACCTTCTTCTCCAAGACATCAACTCGAATGAGGAGCTGCTGAACCTGCAACTGCAAAAGCTCAACAACCTGATCACTCATGCAAGTATGCTTGCAGGCGCCCAAGCGAGGACGGAGAGGCCTGGCGAGGCCGATGGTCCTGCCCAGCAGGAGAAGTCCCAAAGGGGAAAGGCAAGAGCCTGAACCTGAGGGTCAGGAGAAGGATCAGAAGGATCCCGGAGCAAAGGCCAGACCGGCCAAGAAAGCCAGAAGAAGGGGCCAGCCAGCCCGCTGGACCGCAGTCGAAAGGAGAGGCCAAACCCCACCAGTTCGATTCAATGCCTAGCTTTAAGAAGTCCAAAGCAGACACGAAGGAGAAGATCGTGGGCATGAACGAAGCTTGAGCGCCAAAACATCGTTTGGTCGTTTTCCTGAAAGTCAGGCGCCTGCTTAACTAAGTGAGGCAGGGCCACGGGGCCTCCAAAAAAAAAAGTTACTACTAGCTTCTTGTTACTTCTAGCAAGGCACCTGTTACTACTAGCGAGGCACTTGTTTCTAGTAGCTTCTTGTTAAAGAAACATTTTAGGTGCCGTGCCAAAAGTCTGAAAGTCGATGCACTCTGCTGAAGAAGTCCAACCTCACAGGCCATTCTTTATCAAGCAGTGCATGGGTCAGGGGCAATTGCACTCTTGGTTCTCCCAAGGGCAATCAATGCCACCTTTCGGTTTCGCATGATTCTGCAATGTCTTGCATATTGCCTACCTAAAGCAATCAGGCTGCATATATTGGCGTCGCTCTTCCACAGCTTGAACTGCTGCTTGCATTTCTTTGATCCTTAGAAATCCTAGCATGTGGTGGGTTGGAACGTGCGTGCACTGCCAATGCTGCCAGATTCATTCAATACTGTGACTCCTTGATTGACAATAGTCAAAACAGTTGATGGTGGCTCTGGACACTGTAACCCAGACAGGCATCTGTACTTCCAGTCTCTGGATTGCATCGATGTCCAGGAAATCGTGCAAAACCTTCATGAACAACCGCGCAGCGAGCCACAGTACATGAACTGATAGCTTCGGCTGAGGAGCGAATGTAATGCAAATCAAGGTAACCTGGGCGTTCAAACACTTAAGCCAAAACGGGAAAGCTTGCAGAATAGTTGCATCTGTTTACTTCTGGGGCAGCAGCCAACATGTTGCCTATGACGACGGTATATGGTGGCCGAACCAACATGATGTTCATCAGCAGAAGTGGAACGCCAATGAAGAAGCTGAAAAGGAGCCTGTGACACCAACGAAGACAAAGACAAGCTTGCCTGACAGTGCTTTCTCATCTGTGCATGCGTTCATCTGTCCACCACCCCGCCTTGCATGCTCCGGAGAAAGCACCTCTTTGCATTCAAGTGAAGTCAGCTAGCGTAACTAGAGCACTGCGAATACCACCCTCCCAAATAATAATTAAAGAGAGTGACCGTCACGGCTGTGACAGTCAGCGCTCGGACCATTCTCAACCGGACAGGACTAGCTCAGCAAAGGCTCTGTGCACGTGAAGAAGCCACCTTTGATCTGGATTGGAAAGGGGTCGTCTTCCTCCACGTGGATGACGAAGCCACCATCTGACGCATGAATTCTTCATGTCCAAGAATTATATACTATATTATAAATCTATAAATACAATGTGTCCGACATTCCACCAAGAACGCTATTGTGGTAGTTCTTAGGATAGTGGCTTCAACCAGCTGTCATGACTACAATTTGCAGCCAACGTGCTCAGGTCAAATCGCAGCCTACCGCAAACTTGATGCACTCGCAGCGTGACAGTGGTAGCTGAGAAAAAACACGATATGTATACTCTAAGGCACCACTTGATCTCCTGCTTCGCGTCACCGGACTTGGTGATCCGAGACACGTGCTGATCATGAACGTTGCCCCAGTTGGTGCACAAGCTCGGCACTACATAGACTACACTTGTGAAGCTGAGATGCACAGCCTTTTGGCAAACTCATTTCTTCATCCGGGCTTGTGTCGTTCTTCCCCTCCACTTCTCCTTGCTTTGTCTTCACAAATTGTGAGAGGCCAGTGAGTAGGAGCACCTCTGCGCCAAGCAAAGGAAGATGTGAGCGGAACTGCAACCTTTTGGCCGCGAACACTAGAAGGCAACTTTGAAAGGGCCGTAAGGTGCATGGAATGCCATTAGCTGATGACAAGCTGATGAACATGCTCACATGTGTTCCAACAGCTGGACAATTGCAAAGCAAAGGTCACGGAGTCATGGAGTCATGCCTTTCTTGGCACATGAACAACTTTTCTCCACTTTTGGCGCCTCAGAATGCGAAAAGAGTGCAAAGAATGTGCCCGTCGAAGCTACGTAAAGCATGCCCTAATAGTTGTCCAATCCAGGGAGCAATGTGGAAGATCGCTTCTTGGCCCCCTTGGCAGGCCACTTAAATACTGTCTTGTGCGAAACTTTTCAGGAATGGCCTCCAACCTAATAGCAATGGCCTCCAACCTACTAGCGATGGCCTCCAACCTATCAGCGATGGCCTCCAACCTACCAGCGCTTCAAAAGAGCTAAGGCTAATTACTGTCTTCTTCCATGCAGTGCCCGTCCGTGCTGACTGATTGAGTCATGTTTCATCAACTTGTTTTCGAAGAAACTTCACTTCCATTCCCTTCGCCCTCTTGCCAACGAGCTCCTTAGATCGAAATCAACAAAAGTGGCAGTGTGGTGATATGAAGGGATCCCGTCAAGAATCAAAGCTGACCTCGCTTTCCCTTGGGTGACGCATACTGAGAAACACTGCTCTGCTTCTCTAATAAAGGCACCACAACTTCACCGATGGAAGCACATCCTTCCAGAACTTCATCTTTGGTAGCAATGATGAAAGGCTCGTCCAAAGGATATGCAGAACCTAGGCGCACACAAGCTTGCTTCGCAAATTCGTTAAACAGGATCGCATTCAAAAGAGGCCTCATTACATTATTGTATATTGACCCTGCGTTCCGGGTACTTGGCGGAATCAGCCAGCCAGCCACCTATCAAAGTATCCGGCGGAATCAGCCAGCCAGCTAGCTAAAAAGTATCCGGCGGAATCAGCCAGCCAACCACCTATCAAAGTATCCGGTGGAATCAGCCAGCCAGCCAGCAAACTATCCGGCGGAATCAGCCAGCCAGCCACCAAAAGTACCCGGCGGCTGGCGGAATCAGCCACGTATAAATGCTATGTTGTTATGTCTCTTACACACCTATATAAGTTCAATGAGACTTCAAAGCTGTGGATTGCTGTACGTGTGTAAAGGTTATCGAGCGGTTGACGGAAAGGGAACTTGAAGTACTATACCTGGTAACTGAATTGTAGTTACCCTGGGTATCTATACCTGCGCCAGCTGAGGGAAGCCTTCCCAGGACGCGTACATGGCTTCACTTTTTGGCCCGAAGGGTTGATCAAGGAGGCAAGGTTCCAACCAATCAATCAATCAATCAATCAACCTTTACGCGCGCAAAAACATCGGCTCAGGTGGAAATTGCTAACAACGCTCTGCCCAATGTTGCTGCGCTCCCACAAGAGCTTCGTTCCCATGGAACAACAAACAACAAACAACCACCAACAACAACAACATGACTTTGCTTTCCCGGCCTCAGAGAGGCATGTTTGCGATGCGCCAGCATGTCGGACAGCTGCAGTGCAGTTTGCATGGACAGCGCGCATCAGAGCTCTTTTGACACGTGGCAAACATCAGACAAAATGAGCTTCTAGGATCTGAAGGGTTTAGCCATCAGTGGCATGGCAATGTGACTAGTTATGTGACCACTATATATTGTTGAACGAAACCCGAAGCCATCACTAGCCTACACTACTTGTGACGCCTCTTACCATTTGGCGCCAGTACTTGTTTGGTCCATGTTTCCTTCATTAGCCAACTGTGTGTGCCAAAAGTAAAGAATATGTGAACTTTCAGCTATTTTTGAAAGAACGCATTTCGACCAGATCAGATTCAAATTCGCTTTTCCCGGGCCGCCGCCACTCTTTCTGGTTTTAGCGCGGCGTGCGCCAGAACTAGTCACACCGCCTTTGGGTAGTGCGGTGAGGTCCTCTGAACCTCTAACTGCGGTACACTGAAACTCCACGGCCCGTGGAGCTGGGACTTGTGTAAAGGACCATTCTCACTCAAAATAGACGGGAACTGTGGCCGGCGCCTCGACTGTACACGCAAAAAGTGACTCAACTGTACGCGCGAATGAGATGCCGGAAGCCACCTATGAAAGTATCCAGCGGAATCAGCCAGCCAGCCACCTATCAAAATCCCGACGGAATCAGCCAGCCACCTATCACAGTATCCGGGAGAATCAGCCAGCCAGCCAGCTATCAAAGTATGCGGTGGAATCAGCCAGCCAGCAACCTATCAAAGTAGCCGGCGGAATCAGCCAGCCAGCCACCAAAGTACCCGGCGGAATCAGCCAGCCAGCCACCAAAGTACCCGGCGGAATCAGCCAGCCAGCCAACTAAAAAGTAGCCGGCGGAATCAGCCAGCCAGCCACCAAAGTAACCGGCGGCTGGCGGAATCAGCCACCAAAGTATCCGGCGGCTGGCGGAATCAGCCACCTAAAGTATCCGGCGGCTGGCGGAATCAGCCGCCTAAAGTATCCGGCGGCTGGCGGAATCTGACTTAGGCCCCGAACTTCAGGGTCTATATTTTGTTAAACAGGATCGCATTCAAAAGAGGCCTCATTACATTATTGTAACTTTTTGTGTCTTGCCCAGTGGCACTCTTCAAAGATTTTCAAGTATAAGGCGAGGAAAGCTATAAAGTCCCTGAGCTTCAAAACTCACTCAACACTTGCATGAGCAGCCTGCAAAGGATTGCATTACAAGTTGGCATTCAGCCAGTCTAAAATCTTGTTCATTTTTCTCAAACTTTGACGGGCTTCATTGTGGGGAATTCCTGCATGCGACGCACTTTTGTGCTAATCCCCTTCAGCAGGAAGTTGTGGAGGTCGCGCCTGCTTCTCACGTCACACGGTCGCAAGGTCACACAAGTTTCAGCAGTTCAAGTGAAAAACCAATGACTTTGTCATGTCATTACAATCGTCACAAGTGTGCAAACGCCACACGTGCGCAGCTCTGTTTCAAGACGCCAAGCTCGCCACCTGTGAGAGTCCAAACTTCGTTCTGCCAAAGCTGCCTGGCCAGAATGTCAAACGTCCCAATGATGCAGCCAAAGAAAGGCAGGAATCAGTGAGAGAGGCGGGCGTGCCTGAGTGTCAGCTGATTTGGCCAGCATCGTGTCAAGGTCGCAGACCATGCCATTGAACGTGCTCATCATTTGATCTTTGCCTGGCTACATGCAACACATACCACATATCCAACTTGTGCTGCGGTCATGGGGAACTTGATGAATGTTGGTGACAACTCGTGCAAACCACTATTGTGTCTGACCTTCAGGATGCTATATACGTAACATGAACAATTAATAGGGGTTGGTATTAAGTGGGTACTCCGGGGGTAGCGATTTTATAGTACTAAAATGTTAGGACCAACCCCCCTCAACAAATTGTCACTTTTTGACCTTATAAAATTGAAAAAGATATGGGGAAAAAAGTCCAAATACAAGGAGTCAGCTCTATAGAATTGAGGGCCATGAGTCTGTCAAAAGCTGTATTAAATAATGTGGATACTGAGGATCTTGCTGTATAAAAATGCAGGTCCTGAGGTACTCCCGAACAGGTGTTTTTCAATAGGAGTGAAAACATGGGTCTCTATAGAATCAAGGTACAAGGTTCTGAAGAAAACATGGTCCAAGAAGGCATTGATTCCCCAGTTGGTAGGACCACAAATCTGTAGAGAAATAAGAGGGGGTCATGGACAGGTACGGGTCTGTGATTTTATAGTGTCCAAAGGTCGTCCCCAAGTCATCCACTTCTCCATAGAATTGCAATCCCTGACATGCAAACCCATGCTAATAATTCTCTATAGAATCAATATGCCTGAGGCACCAAGATCCATTACACCATCACGTCAACACCTCTATAGAATCGAGCTTGTACAAAACAACAATTCTCTATAAAATCGAGAAACTTCCAGGTTGGTACTTACAAGCCTCCATATTAACAAAAAATATATTGCTAAAACAATCGCTTTCTAGGGGTCCCAATCCCCGCGATTTTGTAGAGGAAATTCCAACCCCTATAACAATTATATAAATAACTAAACAGGTGCACTAGCGGAGTCTTTGGCACTCGGAGCAGGTTTGTTGGAAATGTTTGTGCAAGCCACTCCGAATCTACAAACTGCTCACAAACAGTGCGAACGTGTGCAAACCAACTAGCAAAGTCGAGGGGCTTTTTTGTGCCTCAACCGAGGACTCGTGCAAATCAATGCCTGAATCGGAAGGTGATGGAGAAAACAAAGGCCTCGACAAGCCTGCATTGATTACAAAGTTCCAAAATCAAGTGTGTTCTCAAGTCACTGTATTGAACCAACTCAGCATGGAGTAGCTGCAAGCTGATCACCGCAAACAGGCAGGATGCAATAACAACCTCCGCTCCGCTAGAATGAGACAGGAATCGACTGGACAAAATGTGATGAAACTCCGAACGCTATTTACTTGCTGGATGTCAGTACTGTACGGCAAGTTGCTACATAATCCCAAGGGCCATGTTCTTCTTCTTCCCAATACTTCCAGGAAAACACCAGCTGAACAAAAAGCCCACAATTGGCAAGCATGCCCGTGAGGAGGACCAAATGTGGAAAACTGTGGACTTTTCTGACGTAGCTGGGCAAATACCTCGGAACACGGGGCATTGTCAATGCAGTCATGACTCGTTCAATGATTCCTGGCCCATTGAACATGCGGATGGAGTGCGGATATTGGCCTGGAAGAAGCTCACCAAGCCACCAAAAGGGCTCCACAGGGAACATGCCTTGTCTTTGCGTTTCATGAGGTGCAGCTGGTGCAGTTTGCGATGCATCCTGTTGGGATGTGACCTCTCCTTCTGCAGACGCCGCCTCCAAACTGGGCAGGCTAATGAATGAGTCAATCGCAAAGCGCAATTAAAGCGACAATGGTAGGATACGAATCCTGAACCCTGTGATTCTCCAAACATCTGGCAAGCATGCGGCTAAGGTCACAACGCCATAGTTGCCAATATGTGAAGTTTCCGCCAGGCGGGCGCTCCTGAATGGACTTCGCACAACAAACTACCAACCGCAAACGCACATACCTGCAAGACTTTGCAACTCTTTGCATGTCACGGTTAATCACACCAACTAAGTGCTGGCAAGCAACTCGGACATGGCCTGACTTAGCAAATGCGCGGAAACACCGCACGCACACGGATATGACTCCACAGACCACAAGCCGACTGAAGTTTGAGCCGCTGTCGTGGCTGAGGCAACACAAAGTTCATCAAATTTGTGCATTCAACGATTTGACTTGCAAGTATTGTTTCGCTGATCTGCAACCTGTTGGTCAAGGAGCATTGTATTTTGGCACGTTGTTTTCAAATACCCCTCTGTTATCACCAGGTTCCCTAGGCACCCTGAAAAAATAAAATAAAGTTCTCAGGGCCTATCCTGGCAAAGATCTGTTGACAACATGGGTATGGGGTCCTAAACCAGAAATACAAAATAAAATTCCTTCTGGTGAAAACATATGAAAACAGCATAAAGTGGACAAAGCCAACCTGGCCAATATTTCCTAAGTGGTTAGGTTAGGCACCCCACTCGAAATAAAGTTGTCCCAAAACCGAGACCACGAATGTCCCAACGCGCGCGTCAATATCTTCACCCGTTTTCAAGCCACTTCACCCAAGCTACAGCATCTAAAGCATCACAAGTTAAAACCACTACCATCACAAAGTTTTAGCTTGGCCCTCTGGATTAAATTGAGGCGGGCAGCAGAAACCCAACACAAGAAGCTTCAACAACCACAGCCCACCAACCCCCACCACAACCTAAAGTCACAAGGGGCCCAACCTCACCAACAGCAAATACACCATCAAACCAGGCCTTCTTAGTGTTTATTAGGGTTTAGTGGCTTTGGTCTGGCAATCTGGAAACCTGCTGCGAAGGTAAAATACTACAGGCTGAGGCCCACCTG